AGGACAGTTACCTTCAAGTGAGGCCTGAGAGAAAATTCTCACGACTACAAGCCATGACGCCCAGCTCCGGGCCATCAAACGCGCTGACGAGGTGGCGACCAGGAATTACATGACAGCCCTCGCCACTTGGAAAGCCATCAGTTCTTTAATAAGGTTGTTTGCTACTGCTACATAGTATTCCCTTTTAAATTAAATGCTTTTTCAGTGAGTGGCTTTTGTCTTTGCACAGCTCAAATGTTCCGAGCTCAGTCCTTCGTCGCTCGCGTAGAACTACCCGAGAAACCCTGGCACCTCTTATAACAATAGTGTTTCATTGTTTGTCTTCTACGCCAAGGTTCTGTATATATGAAGCATATCCCAACAATAAAACCAAGCGTCACAGCTCAGTGCCCTCTTTTCTCACTTTTTCACCATACTGTGAAGATCGCTGTTTTTGTTCTATTCTTAGTTATGTACCAACTAGCTTAGTTTTAGCCTAGGGTGGGGAAGACTGCGACGAAAACTTAAAAATATATGAATATTTATTTTTGTTTTGCTCGATACAAATAAACATCAATGCAAAAACATTCCTTTAGTACACGTTATGTGTTACATAAATGTTGCCTGCTTGCCAACGTTCAAAAAACTCATTTGAAAGTAAATGAAAAATGCTCCAGATGTCTCATTTTGTCCCAACCTGCGGGGTGAAACGAGAGGCTGCGGGGAGTGAAACAACACAGTGTTAAGCAATTATTTCCTTATGCTTATGCGTTTGGAAGATTTGAAATTTATTTTGATGGTTTTTACGCAGTCCTAAGGAGACCAGGATTTGGACTCCACGCATTGAATCTAGATAGAAACCGATGTTGTGTTGCGCCAAAGTACCTTGATGATCGAACACCACCAGTCTTTTTGAAAATGTTGTCTTTTGGTGAACTCTTGAACTTCATTGGATTGGTAAACAATCAGGGGCTAAATATGCTTTGATGTATTTTCCTTACCTCTTTTTGCCAATTTGATGCAGGACTACTCAGGCGTTTCATGGTTTTTACCTTTCCTCTTCCAGGCTTTGTGAGGCATTGAAGGGTTTGTGAGGCACTGCGCCAGATTCAAATTTCCTAGAGCTTGTTTTTTTTTTTTGCAGTGAGGCTACTGAGAAAATGACGTTGGAATTTCAAGACGTGTTTGCAAATAATTTCATTTGAAGGTTCCGCCATTTTTTGAACGTCGCTAGAGAGAATCCGTGCGAGCACAAAACGATTGATGCAGGGGGAATGGAGCGAGTTATGTACTGATTGGCAACAATTTATTTTCCATGTCGTTCTCTTCCCAGGAAGCTCTATATATGATAATCTATTTTATTTTCAAACCGTCCTAAACAAAAATATAGCATATATTAGGTGTAAGTTTATGGTCCAATCATTAGGACACTCTCCAAGACAATTTGTTGCCTTTTTGCCGGCTTTGCCCCTCTCGAATGCCAGAATTTAAAAAAAAAACCTGTGATTTGTGCGTGGGCACAACGACCAAAAATTTAGTTGTTATGTACCTCCTAATGAAAAAGTAATAAAAAAATAAATATTTACGTTCTGTACTGACGCGGGCGAAGCCTTATGCACAAATCCGGAAATTAGGCCTAGCGAAATTTTGCCCTTTTTTTGATGGGTCACGAAAATACCGACACCAGCCACGTAATTCTTTCCACGTGAACAGTGTGAGCAGTCATCAACTTTGGCACGTGAAAAGGTACACAAGCACCACTCCTTATGGCTGAAAAGGGGAGACAAAAAATGTATATCTTGTATTAGATACCGAGGCTGGCAATTTCAAAATTTCGCGTTTTTCCGCGGGACTCTTTTTACCCCACCCTACCCTACCTATGCCACACTGGCTCTTTTTAAAGGTCATCGAGTGAACGGCCGTTAAAAGGCCGCAGCTACATCGACTCGGCAGAGTTATCGCGCTGCAACATGTCAGTTCTCAACAGTTGTTCAGTGATTTAAGTGTTTCTGACAAAAATTTTGTAGCGCTGCAAATCTTTATTTATGTTTTTATGTTATCGCAACTAAAATATTTTAAATACACTTAAAAGTACACTTGCGTCGGTAATTCTTGTGCAAACGTGTCAACATAGTCTATATTCATAAATATGAATGTATGTTTGGTTTTTAATTTGTTTACCAGCGAAACGCTGCCCACGTTGTCACCACTTGTTAACGTTGGTACGTTCGCGCTGTTTCCGCTTCCATCACTCAATCGCCATTGAAGTTTCAAGGTGGTTGCTTTGTTGACCCGATATACTATTAATTTGATAGCCTTGAAAATGGCCCGGGTTAGAGTTTATGCTTGAAAGTTGAGTGAATAGAGCAATAGCCTTGCACAAGCCCACGTGACATGGGTATTAATAAACAAAAAGAAAGAAGCGAAACAAACATGGCCACTCAGCTTAGCAATTCATTCAGGCTTGACACTGCTATTGCAAAGATGGCATTACTTTTTTTTTCAAATTTTTTGGTTATCATCTCGCACAGGACACGATTTGCCTAGCTGATTCTGGAGGCTACGAAAGCTCATCGATACGGCTGGAAACATCGGCCGCTCATTCACGACATTCTCGAGAGGCGCTTGCTGATATAGGGTATCATCATCATCATCATCATCCTCATCTTCATCATCATCATATTAATAGCCTGACTAGTTCCACTGCAGGACAAAGTCCTCTCCTATGTTCCACCAGTTAACTCGGTACTGTGCTTGCTGCTGCCAATTTATACCCACAAACTTCTTAATCTCATCTGCCCACCTAACCTTCTGTCTCCCCCTAACCCGCTAGCCTTCTCTGGGAATCCAGTTAGTTACCCTTAATGACCAGCGTTTTTACTGTCTACGCGCTACATGCCCAACCCATGTCCAGTTCCTCTTCTTGATTTCAACTATCATATCCTTAACCCCCATTTGTTACCTAATCTATCTATCTCTGTTAGGGCCTAGTGTATAGAGTAAAACAAAATGCAACAGAAGTTTTAACATTGTGAATATTTCTTTTTTCTTTCACTTCTTTTAATTAAACATCATTGCAGAAACTTTCTTTTTGACACAAGGTGTGCTGCATAAACATTGGCTTGTTGGACTTCGATATTAAAGTGCCGAAAAACGGAGACAAAAAAAGAGACGTAGACGACATGAGCGCTAAGTTTAAATCACGTTTATTATTAATACACATTTGAATATATATGAACTCAAATCTCAGACATTCCGCGGCTTGCTCTCTTACAGATATAGTACTATCCAATAACATAAAAAAACAAGAAACGTATCATCAGAGAATAAACAGGTAAATGGCACCGTTAAAGAGAGCACTTTAAAAATAAAGAAGAACACAACGCTCCAGATCCCTGAATTCGCCCCAATCTGCTGCGGAGAAAAACGCAACGGCGCGTGCGGCGACACAAGCCACTATTAAAAAGAATAATTCCTCTAGTATCTACACTAAAAAAGACTTCAAATTCTTTTTGTCGGCCTTTGCGCAGTTTTAAGGAGCTTTGTACGTGGACTCCACGCATTGAATCTAGACAGAACGCTGTATTGGGTTGCTCCGAATCTTTTTGAAGATCAAACACCGCCAGTCTTTCTTTGTGCAAATGTTATCTTCAGCTGAACTCACGCACCTTATTGGATTCCTAAACAATTGGATGCTGTATATATTTTGGCGTATTTCATTCACCTCTTTTTACCGTTTCGATGGAGAACACCTCTGGTGCTTTATAGCTTATAACTTCGTCCGCCGACCTTCGCGAGGCAATCAGTTTGAAACTGTGCTAGGCTCAGATTTTCTAGGGCTGGCATTTTTTTTTTCTAAATGGGAAGCATTTCTTACCCACTTTCTTCGGCTTTGAGCGTATCTATCTATCTATCTATCTATCTATCTATCTATCTATCTATCTATCTATCTATCTATCTATCTATCTATCTATCTATCTATCTATCTATCTATCTATCATCTATCTGTCTATCTATCTATCTATCTATCTATCTATCTATCTATCTATCTAATTATTTATCCGTCTATATATCTATCTATCTATCTATCTATTTATTTATTTATCCGTCTATCTATCTATCTATCTATCTATCTATCTTGCCGCCTACAAGAGTTACCTCTGCTGGCCGTTTTGACAATGGTATTTGATATGAAACTTGGTATATCATAACATGACTGTATGGCAAACATTGGTGGCTAGTCATAACATGAAATTCCTGACATATATGCCATGAATGTCATGACTTCCATTTCATGTTTTTGCTGTTTTTGCGAAAAATTTGTTCACATGACGTGCTGCAAAACTGGTATGGTATGACATGACTGCATGGCGAACACAAGCGACAATCCCTAACATGAAAATCATGACATGCATGTCATGTAACAGCATGACTACAAGCCACACTCATCGTGTGCTTGCGGCTGCTTTGCTAGCTTCGCATCTACCAAATTCGGTACCACGGGACGTGAATAGATAAGAAAGGTATGTGACTGGTGCAAACATGATAATCATCAGATCCGTGTCATGTAACAACTTGACTACACGTGACGCTCATGATGCGCGCGTGGCCGTTTCGCTAGATTCAGTTATACCAAATTGGCATTACGGGACGTGAATTATTGACGAAACATGTGACGGGCGCCAACATGATAATCATTATACGCATGTCATGTAAAACATGACTACGTGCTCACTCACAGCGCACTCGCGGCCGTTTCGCTAGCTCCGCATATACCAAATTTGGGGTCAGGGGACGTGAATAGATGACGAAGGTAAATGACACGTCAAATATGATAATCATGACGTGAAAGTCATGTATGGCATAATTTACCTCCACCTCGTAACGCCGTGCTAATTTAAAAGTGACATATGAACCTTCCTCATTCGTGTTTCGCATATCATGGATTCCAACTGTACGTGGGATCTGCCTTTTTTTATGCATGACAGAAGCGTCACGACCTTCTATATTCGCATACTCACCTGAGAGGCTTTCGTTAGGTTCGAAGGTCCTCTTCTCTTGCACCAGCTCATACGGGCTTTCACTTCCATTAAGATGCTTGGACCCTCTGTGGACAGGCGCCATGGAATCACATGTGCCTGCAGGAGCTCCTTGAGGTAACGCCGTAATCCTTCCGACGACAGAGAGTAGCAGGAGCACCGATATGGTCTTTAGCACAACTGGCTGGTTCATGTTTGTCTCTGGTGAGAGTTCTGCAAGAACAATAAATTTGAATATAATTGTTTATTTGACTAACGTCTCACAACAACGTTATGATTCGGGGGATGCCGCAGTAGTTAGCCTCCATCTAAAATGCAGCCGCCGTGGCGCCCGGCATTCGATTCCGCAACCTTCGAGTCAGCATTCGTCAACCCTAATCACTACGCCACCATAGAGGATAAGTACAATACATCTACTGAAACGTTATTAGTGCATTTGCATCTTCATTTAACAACACAAAAGGTAAGTGCGAAGCTGCTGTCTTCATTTCAAGAAACAACCTGCTCATTACTAAGTGTTGGAGTCTGCGATATTAGGTGATGTCCCAGGAAAGATTAAAGATTAGGAACACCTGGTGGCTGCCTAAACACAAACCTAAACGGAAACCTGATGCGACCAACTAAAGTATTACTTTGACTCTTGAAGTCAGCCCGCAGTTAGCATTGCGATGGTAATTCTTCATCGTTAACACGAGCAATTACACCATTCATTGATACGACTAAGTTATGCCAATAACGGCGCGACTCAGTAAGAGAAGTTGTAGAACGGCCAGTTCGAAACGAATAATTAGACGCAAACACAATGAATTTGTATATTTTAGCCACACAAAAATGGGACTTTGCCTAATGAGCACAGAGCATAAGTGGCAGCCCTTTTTCCCGTCCCGAATACAGTGCTTTCGTCCTCAATATTAGGCCAGCATGATGTGCCTCATCAATTATTAGTTTTAGGTCGGAGAGATTATTGCCTCGATCAAAAAACGCCACCACGAAAAACGCGCGTACAACATTCGCGCTAAGCGTTGAGTCTATCAGGATTTTGTGTTCGTCGGCTTTGTTTTATTACTCCCGATTGCGCAGTTTTAAGATCTCCAAATGGAGCGAATCAGTTCACTGCGCGAGATAATCATACCAGTTTAAAATGAACTGGTGAACGAAAGTATCGTGACACAGGGTAGACCATAACTCACAACTCATACATGAACCAATTAGTGGTATGTGCCTTAATATTGGCACCTGAATCAATTTTCTTTCATCAGAAACTCGTCAAAAAAAAAAAGGACGACAATTGCCAAGGAATAATAGCGCACTCGATTTTTAAATTTCCGAGGCTGTTTCGGGGCCCTTAAAAGGACACTTAGTGCAAACTCGGACACAACGCAGACACAAACGCGAACGCCGCTAACTGAAAACGCGTATAGCAGCGGATAAACACTGGAGAACAAAGTTCACCCAGCTTCGCCCTAGTTGTTCCAAAGATAAAAAAAAAGTTCGTTTTTCTTCAGTTTTCTATTTATTTCCTCCTGTCTGTTTTGGTCAAGGAAAAAATGTATAGAATTAGATATCTTAAAGAGAATAAAAGAACTTGAAAAGCTGTTTGGTGTTTTTATCAAAACTAAAGATTTAGACACATTAGCTACGTATGAGAAAGTACAAATAAACTCGCTTGTTTAATAACAAGCACGTGCCACGTTCTACAAATATATGTTTACTGGCATAACGCATGATTCCAAAAACTTCTAGAAAAAAATGAAGGACCTTAAGGGCAAGGACGATAAATCGGTTATATCGTAGCTCATGATAGACGGTAAACCATGCTCAAATGCACCACTTGCTATTAGGTTCAATGAACACTTCCTTAGAGTTGGTGATTCTGGGACTGCTGTCAAGCACAATAGGAATCAGACTTTTCGCGTAACTACCAACATTTTATCGTCTGTTTTTCTGGTTCCCATATCCGAATCTCAAATGTACAAACTATTGAAAAATTAAAAAATAACTGTGCATTTGGCGTGGATGACTTAAAACCTCAGCCTAATAAAGCAGTTGCTCATATCATAAGTAAGCCGCAGTCGCATATCACTGATGCAATTCTTAGTTCAGGTATTTTTCCTGATGAACTCAAGATCGCGAAAGTATTTGTCATGTTTAAAGGCGGTAATGAAAATGGCCTTAATAACTATAGACCTATTTCATTATATATCCATACTCTCTAAACGTTTCGAGCAGGTTAAAAACCTGTGAATTTTGAATTACATATTACAAGAGAATGTGATCGTACAACAACAGTAAGGCTTCCAAAAGAAAAAAAATCTGCTGAAACAGCGCTGCTAGTTATTGAATAAAAATACTTTATGATTTCGAACATTAATTATTTACCTTAGAAATTTTTCTCGTCTTCAGGAAATCATTTGATTCGGTTAAACACTATATTTTATAATTGAAACTCCCTCCATACGGAATTAGAGGAAAGGCTCCAGATCTTATTAAAAGCTATCTAAGTAACCGACAGCAGTACACCAGTCTCGGTGACAATAAATCTAACATAGGTTACATCACTTGTGGCGCCCCACAAGAATTAATCTTAGGGCCTTTGCTTTCCTGAATTCACATCAATGTTGTACCTAATATACCACAAACACCCGATGTAGTTCTACACTCTGATGATACCAATATATTCTTCGCTGGCAACTCCCTACATCGCCTTGAACAACAAGAAAATGTGGCTGATACATACATCTATCAGAATCGCTTGGCAGTAATATATTACAACTAAACACCTAGAAAGCTCAATATTTTTTTTATTCCGACCACTCAACAAAACTATCGCAAGCGAGCCTACAATATCATTTGTAGGACGAAAAATTGAACGTGTCACAGCGCATAAATTTCTTGTTTTTTTTTTTTCAAGAACGCTTAGATTGGTCATTACACTCCAACTTTCTTCGTACCAAGACTTTCATATTCACGGCTACCATCTGCAAATTGCGACAATTTCTCCTTCTGTGGTTAAAAAAACAACTATATTGCTCAATTGTTCACTGACATCTCCAATACTGTCTTCTTGTATGGGGGAATATACATCTAAGGCAAACACTGATTAAATTCACATCTTACAAAAAAAAGCTGTATGACTAATATCAGGGGGGTATCATTCAGCCATCACACGACGTCTTTCTTCAAGGAACACCACATACTAATGATAACCAACATCATGAAACAAAAATTGGCTATGCCTATTTATAAACAGGTACGATATGATCGTTCAAGGTTTTATCAAAAGCATTTACCGAGAGATCATGGGCACAATTTACGGCATAGGGCTATACATATGAAAAACCACGTACCAACAACAGCACACTAAAACTCTCGTGCCCAATTTCGCATTTTAAATGCAAAGCATTTCTTAGCGGACTTCGGTGACTTTCAGCGTATCTATCTATCTATCTATCTATCTATCTATCTATCTATCTATCTATCTATCTATCTATCTATCTATCTATCTATCTATCTATCTACATAGCCTCCTTCGACTTTCAGCTCTCCTGGCCATTTCGATAACGACATCGATACTAAATTGATATGGCATAACATGGCTGTACGAAGAATATATATGACTAGTCATAACATTAAAATTATGATATGTATGTCATGAATGCCATGATTTATATTTCATGGTCTTGCAGCTCTTGCGATGGTTTCGTTCACATGACATGTAAAATGGAATGGTATGACATGATTGCATGGTGAACACAAGCAACAGATAATAACATGAAAATCATGACATGCGCGTCATGTAACAACATGACTACATGCCACGCTCATGATGCACTCGCGGCCGCTTTGCTAGCTTCAGTTATACCAAATTTGGTATTACGGGTCGTGAATGGATGATGAAGGTAAGATACTGTTGCAAACATGATAAACATGTGATACGTGTCACGTAACCACATGACTACATGCTACGCTCACCGTGCGCTCGCGGCCGTTTCGCTAGCTTCACATGTACCAAACTCGGTAATATGCGGACGGACGACATAGGTAAATGACACATTCAAACATGATAATCACGACATGCGTGTGTAATGACATGACTACATGCCACACTCATGATGTGCTCGTGGTCGTTTCGCTAGTTTCTGATATGCTGTATATGGTATTACGTGACGACAATGAATGACGAAAGTATGTGACTAGGGCAAACATTATACTCATGATATGCGTGTCATGTGACATCATAACTACATGCCCAAGTGAAGGTGCCAATACATTTCGACGTGACGTGATGCGCGGCTCGCCGGCGTTCATTTTGTTGCGTCACGTCTGCGTTGCCACGCTAGGCCACGCTGCGTTATACTCGCAGGCGCGCGCCGTGCTGTGTTGGTTTGATGTATGCGCGTTTCAGCACGTCCAGCGTTCCTCCGTCACGAAAAGAGGGGAACGCAGCGTTGTCTGGGTAACGCATCGGTACGAAATACAGCATGTCGCATTCCGCACCGGTTGCCGTCTGACCACGACGACGGGCGCTAGTCGCACCGGTCGCGCATGCATGGCGTCAGACTATAGAGTGCTCACGTTTTGATAACGTAGCGTCGCTCTACCAACCATGCGCGCGCATCAACGCTACATAGCAGTATATTGGGCCCTACATGATGCGCTCACATCCGATTTGCTAGCTCCACATATACCAAATTTGGCGTTACGTAGCGTCAACGGGGGCCCCGCCACGGTGCTCTAGTGGCTAAAGTACTCGGCGGCTGACCCGCAGGTCGCGGGATCAAATCCCGGCTGTGGCGGCTTCATTTCCGATAGAGGCGAAAATGTTGTAGGCCCGTGTACTCAGACTTGGGTGCACGTTAAAGAACCCCAGGTGGTCCAAATTTCTGGAGCCCTCCAATACGGCGTCTTACATAATTATATAGCGGTTTTGAGACGTTAAACCCCACAAATCAATCAATCATGTGGCGTCAATGGGTGACGAAATATATGAAAGGTGCAAACATGATAATACCGACGCGCGCGTCATGTAAGAATATGACAACATACCAGGCTCATAGCGTGCTCACGGCCGTTTCACTAGCTCCACATGTACTAAATTTGGTACCATGTGACATGAATAGATGACGAAAGTAAGCGACACACAAAACAAGATAATCACGACACAGAAGTCAAGTATGGCATCATTTACCTCCACCTCGTAACGTTGTGCTGAT